TGCGGGGCGATACACGAATGACGCAAATTGGGAGACACAAATGCAATACACGCAATGCGAACACGCAATAGTCTTCCGCGCAAGTTGAATATTTTCGAGCGGGAAATTCACATGACACGTTGTCATGCAAGCCAATCAGTGCAGAGCTTATTGATGTCCAGTTTGACATTTCAAGTTGTATCAGAAAATGGAGAAGAGATTGTGTTTTTATTCATGTAAGTGATGCAAAAAACATATCAATGCGATATGAATATTCGCTCCGCTTTTGGCCAGCACCAGTTCCAGTACTATTTCAATAGAAAAGAGGTATTTATTGAGTCTAAAATAGGTTTATTTGGATTGTTTTAGGTGACACTGCAGTACTTGGGTCCACATCGTGACCGATACGGTCTCCAGCGAATGTGGGGATCTCTAGGATGGGGTATCGCCATGGTCTGCGTCGGCATCTGGATCGACCACACTAGCACTGACCTTGTCATCGGCAGCATGGAATGCTCCAAGGAAAATTACAAGAATTACCATGTTGCCTTCATCGTGTTCGGCGTGTTAATGGGAATTGCTTTGATTGTTGCTACTCAGTTTAAGTTTGATGTTCAGCACCAAGACAGGAGCGAAGGAACCGAGGTTGGCAACCAGCAGCAAAACACCCAACATAGAGGTTCCCTTGGAACGGAGAACATCGAGACCCCAACAGTTGTCCAAGTTGAGGAGTTCCACTTCTGGGACTTGATGCGAATGCTGTGCGGTGTACAGTACAGCACTGTGTTGTTCGTGGCCTGGTTCATGGGCTTCGGCTATGGGTTTGTTTTCACTTTCCTTTACTGGCATTTACAGGACCTGACAGGAACCACAACTCTGTTTGGTGTTTGTTCTGTCCTGAGTCACGTGTCGGAGCTTGCTGCCTATTTCACCAGCCATAAATTCATCGAACTAGTGATCTACTACGCATGTATGGAACACGTCCGCGGAGCAGACCATCAGCGTATGCTTTCAGAAGTATAAATACAAGTAGTCCGCGCTGTCCGTGTACGCGTCCGGATTGCTCATGCGGAAAGTATAACACAGGCTTTAGTGTATCAGTCTGCTAGCTTAGCCACATGCTAACACCAAATTCTATTGAAATCAACTGTCAGTGTTTCAAATTACTCTTTACTTAGGTTCCATTTCAGTTAGGATTCTACTTTGGAAGGTTGCTGCTTATGTAGGCCGCAAGGCTGCTCACTAGGGTTTAGAACCAAACCATTATAGTAGTTTATTCTAGTCGCAGGCCAGACCTGTCCAGGTAACCCAAACCATCTCACTGCACCATGTGACTTCAGCTCATTTGGTCCTGACCTTGAATCAGTGAGACTTTGTGCATGGCGCTGTCATGCGACTCTGTAGGTCTGCACTGGGATCAGTGAGTTGTTTCAGTGGTTGAAAGGCCTGGTTCAAAAGCACAAAGCCCTTTTCTGTCAGCGGTGGCACAAGTCCAGAATGCAGTGCACAGCTACAGTGTCCACTGCGTGGCTCCTTTTACAGAGAGCGTAACATTCATGCTCTTTGGTGTTCAAGTTGAGTTATTTGTTTTAAATTATATAGAGAAAACCATTTGACTGAATGACTGACACAGCAGTATGAATTCATAAGTCATCCCTCCTTGACCGGTTTATAACTTCTTGTAAGAGGCAGTTAAAAAATTAAGACACTTCCTGTTAGACATTTTTATGTTTTGTAGACTCATCTTTAAAAGATGACCTGAATAAGCTGTAATGATATTTGAGATATGACTATGCGGTTAAATCTAATCTTGATTACTTGTTTTTATAGCACAGAGGAAGTTAATATAGTGAGTCATCATGAAACACAGAGCACTTAAGAAAATACTTTTTTTTGGTCCAAATTATATTTCCACTTTTAAAATTCACAAAAACCTGTCTGGCTTATTAAAATATAAGGGGGGAAAAGTAATTTTATTTTGCATTTGCATTAAAAAATTAAACATACTTGGAACCATTAACCATTAAATTAGGACCATTAATGTTTTTATGTATTGCAGCTAGAAAAATGCTATTAATGTATTTATTATTTATGTTTGTTTATTAATAATTCTTAATTAATAATTGTCAAATTAACAATGAATTAAAAGTATTCTTTAATATTAATTTTCTTTAATATATTTAATATATTTTTTTCTTTACGTTTAAGGGGGTGAAACATGAGCCTGACATGTTGTTGAGATGTTTTATGAGACTCCTGCATGTATTTTTAATAACTGTGTCTTGTGCTTCTTCTGTCAGAGTTTTGTACATTGGCCTGGCTTGCAACACAGCACGCTACCTCTATATCTCGTATCTGAAGAATGCCTGGACTGTGCTGCCAATGGAAGTGCTGCAAGGTATGAATGGCCAGTCATCAAGTTCTCAATCCTAGGAAAAAGCATCTACAATCATTAAAATCTCTAAATGTGATCTGTTGTGAACACATTATGTTTTAAACATCAAGGCGGTGGTTCATTTCAGGAGAGGAAATCAAGTCAGTTTGACCGCCCTTTCCTGTGGCAAAACAATCAAAGTATAGTAATAATAATAATAATAATAATAATAATATTTTTTTTCTCAAACAGCCATAAGATCAGATATCTATGGAAGCCCGTTTTCGCCACTGAATAAAAAATAAAAAAGGTAATTGTGACTTTTTATCTCACAATTCTGACTTTTTTTCTTATAACTGCGTGATACAAATTCGCAATTCTGACTTTTTTTTCTCATAATTGCGTGATATAAACTCGCAATTGTGAGTTAAAAGTCATAATTGTGAGATATAAACTCGCAATTCTGAGAAATAAAGTCAGAATTGTGTGATATAAACTCGCAATGGCGAGACATTAAGTCGCAATTCTGAGAAATAAAGTCAGAACTGCGAGATATAAACTCACAA